GTTATTTTTAACATTTCGGTTACGAAACTATCGACTTTCTGAAATTAGTTACATCGTCTCGAATTGTTTTGCTAAGTAGTAGGGCCTTCATTAAATGAACTAATAACATAATGGATGAAAAGGTACACCTTCATTTATCCCTTCAAACATAAATGGGATATTTTTATGTACTGCTCATACTCAAACTCAAACTCAAACTCAAAAGCATTTATTTCAATTAGACCATAATTTGGTACTTTTGAAACGTCAACAAATATGAGATATATAATAGTCTGTCAGTCTGTCCGTCACTGAAGCTAGGCGCTCGTTCCAAAATGTCGATTCGAGTGGAGAAGAACGAGCAAGAAACTCCATTCGTTACTCTTTTTAAAAAAAGTCTGTTTTACATTGCTCTGATACATATTCCAATATTGTACACACATGTGAGAATAATGTAAAGACATACCTGACGCAACATACAAATAACAGAACATACTAAAATAGAAAAAAAAACATAACCAAGAGAAAACAAATATCTTAATACATATCTTTTAGCCCGCCACAACCTCCCGAAACCGCTGTAACTCCTGTAAGTCAGGATTCACAGTAGATACAACCATGATAACACTGAAACACTGAAGTCCGGCGCGTATCAGGGCATGAATAACTCTAGTCTTGGTTGCCGCAACGAAGTGAATCAGAAGATATTATAAGAGGAGAAGAAGAAAAAACTATAGTTTCCTCTCAGATATATTCTAAAATACAGTCAAAAAGATTCTTATGAATTGAATACATTTAACCTCTGATGATGCATAACACGCCCATACCACCACCCATCACCCATTGATTATAAAACATCAAATGTACGCTAAATAAAAATATGCTTTGAAATATTGCAGAAATAACATTCATAGCGTACGTTGATATGTAATTTTATCCAACTTCCTGATTGCCTCCCCCTCCCCCGTCTACCCTCCGTCGGCGTCCACCCTAGCTAATGTGTCACCCTTTGCGGAAATCGGTTTTTTACACGTCGATTAAGAACTTTTGTATTTATTTTGCACAAATGTCACTGTATTATATTTTACGGTAAAAAAACGGCGTGACAAGAATTTTGAAAGGAAAAAATGTGATTTATTTACTAGTTCGGAGTCAAAATACATCTAAACAATAATTAAACTGGGCTTTCAATAATAAAATAGGTAGGTACAATGTGAAAAGGTATAACTACAATATGATAGTATATTGTTCAAAACACAGAATTTATAAAGAAGGTTTATGTATATGTTGTAAAAAATATTTAAAAAGCAGAAAAACTTACCCAATCTTAGTGCGACTGGCAATATATCTGAAACAAGAAAAACACGAATATTATTTTAATATTCAGTTATATCACTACATAGTATAAAACAAAGTCGGTTTCTCTGTACCTATGTCCTTTTGTATGCTTAAATTTTTGAAACTACGCAACGGATTTTGATGCGGTTTTTTTTAATACATAGAGTGATTCAAAAGGAAGGTTTATATGTATAATACATGCATATTGCACCCGTGCGAAGCCGGGGCGGGTCGCTACTATTTTATACATAATACTTAGATAAGAGTGATATATTTTCAGAAATTCACTGCACGGAACCAATCATAGAAAAATAAATGTACATGACATAACATCACGCCTTTTTTCCCCAAAGGGGTAGGCAGAGGTACACATTATGACACTGTACAATGTAACACCCACTTTTCACTATTTATGTTACGAGTCCCATGTAATAGGGGGTGAGCCTATTGCCATATACCGGGCACAATCCAGGCTCCGTGCTACTACTGAGATTTTTTTTAAACCCAGTAATTATTTGCCCGACCCTGGAAATGCACGCACTTGCGACCACTCGGCCAACGAGGCAGTCGAAGTAGGCAGTAGAAGAAAAGTAAATTTAATGATTGAAAAATGGGTGTGTTTATTTTACTTTACACTGTAAGTGATGGCGGTTCGTTAATTTGTCCTGATGTGATGTGACAGCCACAATGGCGCAATCACATTTCCCCAACTGAAAATTGTTATGCTTTCATTTTGTGGTAACAATGTGAACAAAACAAACGGCGAATAATTTTTCAAACATAATATTACTGTACAATAGTATGATGGTTTTGTGGTACACACACACAAGCACACACACACACACACTCTCTCTCTCTCTCTCTGTCTCTCTGTCTCTCTGTCTCTCTCATACACACACACAAATAAAAATGTGCCACTTGAGTGCCTAAGTCCGGCTGGATGCAAGTCACCTCCAACTAACTTTACTAACTGATATGGAAATTATTCCAAGAATGTCTTACGGCTGATATATCATTCCATCGATGATGATGATGAATTCATCCTGTATTCGATTCCAAAATCCTGCAACCTGTTACTGAAGACAGCAGTGTCACTTTGTAGACTATTTTCCACTTACTTTGAGTATTATTTTGGTAAAATAAAAGTTGCTAATAAATCTATGTCTGAGTCTTTATCTGTACCAATAATAAGATTGCAATTAACAATATTTTTTTTATGGAATAGGAGGCAAACGAGAGACGGATCACCTGATGGTAAGTGATCAGCACCACCCATGGACACCCGCAACACCAGAAGAGTCACAGGTGTCTTGTCGGCCTTTTAAAAAGGAATACGCTCTTTTCTTGACGGTTTTAAGGTCTTGTTTGAAGGTATGAATTCATGCACACAACCGCATAATTATATGAAAATACATGATGTTACAATCACACCCATTTTTAATAAAAATAGGCCTGTACCCAATATTAAACTGTAATAATACTCAACATTTTTGCACCAACAAAGTAAAATTGTTCTCCATCCCGGTAACACTCAGATACTGAGTGATGCATCAGATGTCTTCCCAGCTAACAGCAACGTCGGGATAAAGATAACATCAACCCGCAATACTTCACCGGAAACATTAGCCGAGTTGCTACGACAAATTATATGGAAACTAGCTTTTACCCGCGGCTTCGCTCGCGTCACAAAAGGGTAAAACGTAGCCTATGTGACATATACCAATACACACAGCGCCATCTATACCAATACTTTTGTTTTCCCTTAGGAATATAAATTTTTCCGGGATAAAAAGTACCCTATTATTTAATCCAGAATTCTAACTTTACGTCTGCAAAAATTCAAAGCAATCGGTGTAGTAGTTACGGCGTGAAAGCGGAACAAACAAACAAACAAACAAACAAACAAACACACTTTCCAATTTATAATATTATAGTAAGGACAAAGATGTATAGAGGATGGAATTGTCTCTCGAGGGCGTTGTTGAAGCTAGCGCAGTTGTTGATGGGACAGATGGTGTTTCTTAGTCAAATGAGCGTTTATGTCTGCTGAGTGAGCTGCTATGTGAGCTAAATAAAATGTTCTTTTTTTTTTTGAAGGGGGAAAAATCATCAAATTGCGTCCTGTCCTGGACCAAAGTATGTGTTGGTTTCGCTTCGATTAACGCTCCTGTAGTCGATAGAAGTATTTGATGTGAACTTTGACAGCTATACAGGTTAAATATAATTACGTACCAAACTTTAGATTGAACTCCAATAAACGATATCAATTTTATTCTTAGAAACTCCCTCTTACCATCTTTATCTCACTTGATTTAAAATCCCTTTTTAATGTATAAGTAATGATTTGTTTATTTGAAATTAAATTCGTTCTTTAGATACTTCCTCACACTCTCTAAAACTTTTAAAATTAAATGGATACTAATATTCTCATTTGGAAAAACTGTAAAATATTAATGTTCAACTATTTCTAAAAAAAAAGAAATATCCATTTAGCCCTTCATTTCTCCACACAATACTTAAGAAAATATTTCCGGAAGGTCTCTTTAGAGTGAGAGGACACTAATGAGTTTGACGTGGACGAGAACCAGCAGGGAGTCTCAAGAGCACTTTATTTAAGACAATACTCCACCACGTGGGCGATCCTAACCAATAGCCTTTTATTCAATGCTGATATTATCTTAGAACTAAATGAGAGTATTTTTTTTTTTAAATGGGTATTGAAATTTTAATACTGAATGAAACGTTTCTTGGAGGTTCTTAGGGAAATTTTTTGATGATAATCCGTTGAGTAAGTCTTAGTCTAAACGATGATGATTATCACTTTAAGCGGGGACAACTAAATTATATTTGTCTATGATGATTTTAATTAGGTATATCACCCTAAAGTACCATAAACCCTTGAATTGTATTCGTGAATAATCACTACATAACAAACAGTGTTAGTTTATTATTGGACTTATACTCTTACACTTCGGAACTATAAGTACAATAAATATGTAAGTACCTAGACAAAAAACATGAAAAATAAAAAAATCTAAAGTGCCCATCACAATGATTAGAGCATGCAGCGTCTAGGCATCAAACGAAACTACACAAAATTGAACCATAAGGTAAGCGCAGTGCGCAGCGAGCTGTACTAGAGTGCCCAGGAAAAACGGTAACAGGCAAACTAGCTACATATGAACCTATACAAAACCAGTTTAACATGACCTCACATTGTATAAACTCTCCGCATATTCGGTGGTCAGTTTATACTTGTTGCATAGCATGACGTGTTCGAACTGTACAAAGCATTGTTCGAAATCGAAAACCAAACGTAACCAGTTGCAGTCACCAAATAAATTCAACGTGGAACAGAAGTCATGCACGGATAGCGAACGGAACAAACCACGCGAGACTACGGGCTTGCGACACACTGAATCAATGTATGTATGTAGCTCTGCGTAGCGTGGAAACATGTCTAGCGTGAACCACCGCACGTAGAAAATTGTATAACAGACTTTCAACTCTATTGCCAAATTGTGGGGTTGAAAATCTATCGATGGATGAGGGGTACCTTGATGAGCTGTGCACGTTCAAAAACATCACGCATGATACTGAATGTGTTTGATATAGATGTGTTTGTTTAACAGAGGGTGAGTTCCCATAGTTGTGGTGTAGACGGAATCAAATCAAAATTACTGGCGTTTGTACTACATTGGCCTTGGAATTCACGGGGTTCGGATGGAGGACTGTGCATAATTTGAGATGTTGAAATTCGTTTGAAGTTGATGTTATTTTGGATCTATTAGAATTTTGATACCTTTATTAATTTCATAAAAACTATCCTTTATGATTGCGTATCAAATAATTTTACTCAATTAATACTATCAGGCAATAAAAATATACTAATTTACCAAAATGAAACACTTTTTTATGGCATAAGCTGGTAAACGAGCAGACGGATCACCTGATAGTAAGCAATCGGCGTCGCCCATGGACACCTGGAACACCAGAGGCGTTTCAAGTGCGTTACCGGCCTTTTGAGGAATTAGGAGTTTGAGGGTCGTTGGGGATTTAGGAATCGGGGAAATTGGGGAAGGGGAGGGTAATTGGGCTAACCTCACTTACACGACGAAGCACAACGAAAGCGTTGCTTCACGTCGGTTTTCTGGGAGGCTGTGGTATCACTCCGGTCGACCCGGCCCATTCACGCCGAAGCATGGCTCTCCCACACTTTACCACACATAACTTTATCCTTTCAAAAAAGATAAAATCATTTATTTAAATTCGCCAAGAAAGAAGGTACTTGCCTTTTTTGGTTCAGACGTCAAAAAAATATTAAAAAAACCTATTTTATCCTATCATTCAGGTAACCATGAATATAAAGAAGAACAATTCCTTATGCATCCTAATTTCAATTCAAACTAGCGACTACAGTCTAGTAGATTTACTTAGGTACATCCATAAATTACATTGCACCTTCCTCTAAGTTCACCAAGTTTCATTAGTTACATATAAACAGCAACATACAGCCATTGAGACGTACCTATTGCATATTTCAGTAACTGCCACTTCCAGTTGCGTTAGACATCTAGCAGGGGATGCACTAGAAATTCATTAAGAGCATAGATGATGAGTCCTAGAGCAGTTAAGACCAGATTAAATTCCACGTCGTGAGCTGGGCCGGGCATGTTTGTTTTGGGTGCTACGGCACTTGATGTCACTTCTAGGTTAAGTGTTTCTATATCTGTGTGTCTCATGTCATTTGTTTCTGTGTTTTGTGTATGTGAACTAGAATACAGGTATTGTTAATTTTTAAGGTCGCTAATGGCCGAATTACAAAAAATTTAGATTGGTCAAGAGATTTCAGTTTAAAATTCGGTCGTATATCACCATTATGTACAAAAACACTTATCTATAGACGTTAGTTATAGGATATCAGGATTTCAATAGGTACTTGTTAAACAGAAATGCAGAAAAAAAGCTATAATAGGAAGATTTTCTGAGCAATTAATTAAATCGTAGCTT